TAGTTGGTCGGCTGATGATATAATCTCAGACTTGTTGTAAAAGTTGGTTAGTGGGAAGAATGGTTAGAGATTTTTTGTTTTTTTAGTCATTTTATTTAATAAATTTCCCTACGATGTCCTACTTCCAATACTTCAATTACAATTTTATCAGGGAAAATTTTGTAGATAATTCGATAATTACCAGTGCGATATCTATACTGACCCGGTCGTTCTTTTCCCTTTAAAGACTTAATATTCCCTCCTTTATAAGGATCCTTGGCTAGTTTATTTTCTACTTTATAAATGATTTTTGCCTTTTCTACTGGATGAATCCTATCAAGATTTTTCTTGGCTTTTTCAGTTCATTCTACCCTATACATCTACCTTTTTTAGATTTAGTTCTTCCAAAAGTTCATCCGTAGTATAGGTTTTGTCGCCTTTTTCCCTTTCTCTTTCGTAGATTTTAGCCATATCTTCGGCATTTTCTAAATATTGAATTAAGGCTTCTTGGATAATAAAATCCTTACTTCTCTTACTAACTTCTTCCAAATAAATGAGATGTTGCTCTAATTTTTCGGGTAGTTTAAGCTTTACATTCAATTCTTTTACTTCTTGTTTTTTCCCCATACCTCTATATATTATATTTTATTTCCAACATTTCCTTTATTTCTTCCTACCTTTTTTTCTGCTTTGGTTAGTAGTTCATTTAGAAAACCAGTGAACTACCAACATAATTATTAATTTTGTAAGGAGAAAATGTGGGATATTATTTGCCCTCATATCTAATATATACTAAAACCTTTAGTTTGTATAATTTTTGAAAATCTAAAAAGGCAATTCGCCCACGATATTTACTTTCTAATATCTCCTTTCAAATTTCAGGGCGTTTCAGTTTGTCCTGGTAGACATGAATTTTTTCTTCTCCTTCTTTAAGCCAAAGAATTAAATAATCTGTCTCTTCTTTATTTTTTAGTTGGATATGCCCTTTTATTTCAGCAACTAAGGTATAAACGGTTTTATTGATAGTCAAGATTTCTCAGACCTTTTTTTCCAGGCTGCCTTTCCAGTCATTTTTGTTTTTGAGACAAGGGATGATAACTTCTTCAAGTTTTTTTAGAGTTTTTTCATTAGACATACAATATTTAATATTTAATATTTAACTTAGCAATTCAGTTATTTCATTTCTGATTTCGAAATTGCTAAAGAAAAGAACCTTAGTATTAATTCAGTCCGTTCATTCACTTTTTTTGGATTTAGATAATTTAGGTTCTAATAATTCTTTTCAAGGACTAGGAGGAGTTAGAAAAAAGGCTTTTGAATCAAAATGATAGTCAACCATCTTTTTTTACTTAGGAAAATTTTCTAAATAGTCTAGGTGGAGAGTATAAGTTTTTTTCTTAGATCGTGCCAGCAAATATTTGTTGTTATACACTTCCAAAGGAATAAGGTCTTTTTGTTCTACTTTTTGAACATTAAAGTCGCCTTTTTTAATGAAAAAGGCTGGTCAACCCTCTTGGTCGCCTTTTTTCCGGAAAAAAACTAATCTTTTTTTGACCGTTTTTTGAGTATCTTCACAAAATACTTCTTTTTCTCTCTCTCAATATCAGTCCTCAAAATCGCCTTTTTTTCATAACTCTTGGTCAGCAATTTCATCTATCTCCTCATCTCAATCGGCTAAGCGATGGTAAGTTCGGTCATAGGCATTAGAAAGATGTAAAATAGTTGGCTTAGGTAGTTCCTTATTTCTTCACATACTTTTTCAGAAATCTTTAAATTTATCTGGCTCGCTAGTTAAATAACCAGTTTTTCAATCAAGCATGCGAGGAATTGCTTCATCAAAAGCAATTAAGAAAGGATTTTTAGAAAATGCCCCACGAGCCTTATTGTAATGCTCTAATTCGGCAAAAATGATGCTATTGTTTTTTTCATAGAAAGTTCCGCGAACAATCACTTCTCATAATCTTTTTTGTTCATTAACTGAAATGTTGTTTCAGTCGCAGTATTCATTAACTCTTTCTTGAAAATAGTTTAGCAAAGAATAACGAGCATCTTCGGGGTATCTTCTCAGTCAGAGAAATTTTTCTTTATCTTTATGAACTAACGGCAGAATTCAATGAACTGTGGTTCAAGTCTTACCTTCTCCTCGACTAGCAATAACGGCTATTTCTTGGTATTCTTGGGAGTTCTCCAAGATATGGACTAGATTTTGAGTAAAGATGCCAGATGATAAGGGCATCAACTTGGTGTTGGGAGAGTTCTTGGATTCTTTGGGTTTGGGCTTGTCCTTCGGCTTTTCCTGAACCTTCCCGCCCATCGATTTGATTCACTCTTGAAGTTTTTGCCTTTGCTCTTCATAATATATTCATTTTCCGCTAAAATGGAACAAATTAGGAATGGTTTCTTCCTCGTTTTTTAATTTTTCACCAAAATCCTTAGTAAGTTTGTTTTGCCTCATAACTATTTGGCTTTTAGTGTGGAATTTTAAACATTCCAATGCTCCCACTAATTTTTCCAAATCCATTATGTCTTTGTTTCTGCTTTTTGTTTCATAATAAGCGGTTTCTATTAAGACAATATTGGGTTTTTCTTTCTGAATTAGATTAGAGACATATTGATAATGCTCTTGTCATATTCTACTGAAAAATTCAAAAAATAACTTGGTAGAGCCTCAAATTAAGCATATTCCGGTAGTTCCTGTTCCGGAAGGATCAACAGAAAGGATTTTTAACACAATTTATCTGTATTTTTCCATAAACTTATTGAGTATGATAATTATTTACATGCTCCAATTTAGCTTTCCAAGCCAAAGACTTGGCCTGTTTGTAATCAGTAGCGAAATTATTTAATAAAAATTTTTCTTCGCAATACTCGCATTTGTAAGAACTATATAAAGCACAAACCTGACAAAAACTTTTTCCACTCTTTTTTTTAATAAGTTCGTGAGAGGGAAATGAAATTTTACATCTAAAACACTGTTCCATTTATTTGTTAGTTATTTTTATTTCCTTAAATTCAGCCATTTTTCCATTTCCTTTCTCAACATGTTCCACTAATGCTCTAAACTGGTTAGAATTTAAGTCATTAGTTATATTTCGGACTTCTCCATCCTTATAAGTTATTTGTAATTGTAGCATATTAATAATTTTAATCCATTATTATAAGGTC